GAAATAAATTATTATTAACCCAGTAGTGCCACAACTTATTAGGAAAAAAATGTATTCATTAAAAGAGTACGGTGCTATTATTGCCAGGTAAATAAGAATAAGCAAAATATAATTACATCATACATGATTTTATTTTACTTTGTTTTAGCTTCCTACAATGAAAACATGTTCATATGTCCATTCCCATATGAAAGTCACACGATAAGGACTACAATACTTTTTTTTCTCTGCTTAGCATAGTCAAAGGTACCTAGCAAGTCTTTGTAATTGCAAAGTCTACTGGCATTTTTCATTATTACCTAAAACACTTGTATCCGTTTTACAGTTCATTCACTGAACAGACATAATATCCTGACTGATCTCCTTTGATCTTAGTCTGAGAGGAAGATGTGCACGTAGATGGTATTCAGGCTATATCGGTCCAAGATATACCAGCATTTCAAGCACTCTGAAACTTCCTCTTGCCTTTCACACCCAAAACCACCACAAAGGAACAATTTAACCAAACAGAACAGAATGCCAACCAGAAATGAAAAGAAATCTCAAAAAAAAAAAACAAAAACCCACAACAAACAGCCCTTATGCACCTCTCTTCTGTACAGAAAAACAACGAGCACATCAGTGCTCACCTGATCTGTAGTCTCTCATTTCTTATAATGTTATGACTTGAGACCATCCTCTCTTGTTTTTTTGTTGAACTTTGCCATTGAGGTCTGTTGTACAGATTCATTAGCAGGAGCAGCTGGCCCATGGCGTCCACCATGATGCTCTTGCTAGAGTTCCAGTGGAAAAGTCAATCAGAATTTTGCTTTTACTTTAAAAGGCTGAGCCTCCAAAAGCTACTATGATGGGAGATAAGAGAGAACAAACAGATCTAGTCTCATTTTCCTGTGGCTGCAATTATCTACCAAAAAATGATGACAATAACAACAGCAAAATTAAACACTGAAATAAAGGCATATTTGGCCTCTGGTGAAGAAACAAAATAACCTAAGGCTTACTTAAGAAAAATTTGTGTGAGTATTGGAGAAGAAATATTAGCTATTTCAGATTAGTGACAAAATAATCTACCAAGTTATTCATGGACACTGCTGAGGGTAACTATAAGGTCCGGATGGATGTGCCTTCCAAAGACCAAAAGAAACATGAAAGAAAATTTATATGAAACTACTCAATCAAATGTATTAAAAGAAAATATTAGGCCTAAATCTTGCAAATGCTTACTCTGTGGCATTTTATATTACCAGACACATCCTAAGATTTATCACAGACACAAAAATTTGAAGACTGGGATCAAAGCCTAAATTCTTTCACAGTGCTTATTGCATACTTCATCATCTTGCCTTTGAGAATGTCATGGCAGATAGTGTCAAAAGCCTTGCTCAAGTCCAGATAGACAACATCCACTGCTCTCCTCTCACCTACCCAGCCAATCACTTCATCACAGAAGGCTCTCAGGTTGGTTAAACACGATTTCCCCCTTGTGAATCCATGCTGACTACTCCCGATCACCTTCTTGTCCTTCATGTGCTTGGAAAGGGTATCCAGGATGAGCTGCTCCTTCAGCTTTCCAGGGCTGAAGGTGAGGCTGAGTGGCCTGCAGTTCCCTGGGTCCTCCTCCTTGCCCTTTTTGAAGATACTGCCATACTGCTTGCCTCAACTGCCACACCACCTGGATCGCCTCACCACCTGAGCATCACACAGTCCCCCAACCACCACACAGTCTTCCAAGATGCCATACCACCTTGCCCAACCACTATACTACCTGCCCCAACTGCTGCACTGCCCACCTGAGCCACCACACAGCCACCTGAGACACCACATGGCCTGCCACTGCCCACAGGGCAGCCTTGCTCACCATTGCACCCTTTGCAAATGAGCCTAACTGATACTCCTGTGTCACCTCATGTCCTCCTGACGCAACTCAAGAGCTCAGCCCTGGCATGCAGAAATTTTAAAAGTTTGTTAAAAACGTGTGCCCAGCCTTTCTCCAGCCAGATCCCAGGGCAACCCAAGCACAAGGCAGCCTCCCCAGCCGCGGAGACCAGACATCAGCCCTCAAGAGGCACAGCACTGTCACCTGGAAGTCACTGAGCATGTGGGAACCAAGTTTCGGCTAGGCAACAACTACTCCACTCTTGTCTCCTCCCC